TTAGGGTGTTGGGGTTTGGGGTTTAGGGTTTTGGGGTTTTGGGGTTTAAGGGTTTAGGGTTTAGGTTTTAGGGTTTAGGGTTTAGGGTTTAGGGTATAGGGCTTAGGGGTTTAGGGTTTAAAGTTAAGGGTTTATGGGTTTAGGGGTCTAGGGTTTAGGGGTTTAGGGGTTTAGGGTTTAGGGTTTTAGTTTAGGGATTATTAGGGCTTAGGGTTTAGGGGTTTAGGGCTTAAGGGTTTAGGGTTTAGGGCTTAGGGCTTAGGGGTTTAGGGTTTAGGGTTTAGGGCCTTAGGGGTCTAGGGTATAGGGGTTTAGGGGTTTAAGGTTTAGGGTTTTAGGGTTTAGGGATCAGGGCTTAGGGTTTAGGGGTTTCGGGTTTAAGGGGTTTAGGGTTGTTTAGGGTTTAGGGGCTTAGGGGTTTAGGGGTTTAGGGCTTAGGGTTTAGGGGTTTAGGGTTTTGGGTTTAAGGCTTTAGGGGCTTTGGGTTTAAGGGTGTGGAGTTTTAGGGTTTAGGGATTTAGGGGTTCAGATTTATGTCGAGTTTTAGGGGTTTAGGGTTTAGGGGTTTGGGGGTTTAGGGCTTAAGGGGTTTAGGGGTTTAGAGTTTAGGGCCCCAAACCCCTGAAGCCTATAGGTCCTGAACTTCCTAAGGCTGTTGTTGATGATGTTGTGTCTGATGTTGTTGGTGTTGCAGTTCTGGCTGTTGCAGTTGCTTTTGAAGTTGTGGTTGCTGTTCTTACCATGAGTATTGCTGCCGTTGTCGCCGACATGCTGTATGTATTGCTGTTGCTCTTGCACGTTTGGTGATGATGATGGTGATGATGACCATGATGATGATGACGATGATGATGAAGATGATGATGATGATGAGGAGGAGGAGGATAGTGATTACGATGATCCTGACCATGACCGCGATGAGAACGGAGATGTGGATGCTTCTACTGCTATCATGACAGTAAAAACAACTTGCTCACACGACTAATGGCCTTAGTATTTGACCGTCAACGTGATAAGAGCAGAATAACAGTAACCACAATATTCCTAGTAGTGCAGGCTTCTTCTGCCCACTCACTTCACGGTTGCAGTGGAATTCGGGTGGTGCATAGGGACGATGACTGCACTGGAGTTCTTCAGTGATTCTCGTTTGACCACACGAATAACCCTGCTATTCCTTTGGCTTGCTCACTGGAAAACCCTGTAGTATGTCCCAAACCCCAAGAAACGAGAGCCCCTAAACCCTAAACCCTATTAACCTTTAAGCTAAGTCCCAAAGGCCCTGAACGACTGAGCACACATCTGCCCAGTAGCGCCAGCGGCTGGACATGAACACCTCTCGCAGACGGTCAACAACTAAGCTGTTCAGTAACCAACTGTTAGGGTTTAGGGTTTAGGGTTTAGGGTTTAGGGTGTAGGGTTTAGTTTTTAGGGTTTAGGGAAAAAGTATATACTTTTTTGGGTTAGTTATATCATATTAGGAACCAATACCCCAAAAAGTAAACAAGGATGCTTCTGAACATCCTAGACAAATCATGTGTGTGGTTTACGGTTCCACGATTCCAGGGATTCGTTAAAGGTTTATTGGGCTTAGCGTCTCTGCGACCGGTAACCGGGAACCTGAATATCAATAGCTGTTGGATAACTTTTCCCAAAGCGTCCTATAAGTACCTATATAGTAGAATGTAGGGTTTGTATAATAGGAATTACTATTATGATTTAGGGAAGTATGCCCCATAACAGTACATAGGACCCTTTGGGTTTGTTTCATGCAATGACCACGAGAGAAGCTAGATGAGAGGAGCTG